ATTTACCAAGTTGTGTTGCTTCTGGTCGTTGCAGATGTAGGCCCGCAAAAAAGTTTGCACTGCTTTCAGGAGGATAGTCCCTCAGTACACTGTAGAACTTCGCGTCGGTGAAGCAGAAAAAAAATTTCCATAAAATTGGAGAAATTGATTTTCTTTTTAGTTGCAAATTTGATGTTTAATTTTTAAAATCGAAAAATTGACAGCTCTCAATTTTAAAAAGCAAAATTGTAATAGAATGTGAATCGAGTCACATGCTAGCCGAAACACGCGGAACATAGATAATTGTCAGTTTTTAATTGAGGAAAAGTGATTATGGGCGTATTTTTTGTTAACCTAGAACTTCAAGCAGGGTTGGTGGTATATCGTGTTAGTCTCTTTGCAGAGAGCTGCATCAAAAAATTGAGTCGTACAGGGTCAAATTTTAAGAGGTACGCGTCGATGAATTTGACTGCTGGGTGGATGCAATTTTCATGTTAAAAACTGGTTCAAAACGTGTCAGCGTGAACTGAATAACAAACTTTTACAAAATCACATATAAAATGGCGTGGAACAATTTTCGAACAGCTTTTTTTTGAGTCGTACAGGGTCAAATTTTAAGAGGTACGCGTCGACGAATTTGACTGCTGGGTGGATGCAGTTTTCATGTTAAAAACTGGTTCAAAACGTGTCAGCGTGAACAGGTGAACAAACTTTTACAAAATCACATATAAAATGGCGTGGAACAATTTTCGAACAGCTTTTTTTTGTACATGTAAAAGAAGGAAAAAGAAGGACCTTTTAATCTATCAGCGATTTCTTAAAAATCTCAACAACCTCTGCAAAACAAAAAAAAATACTGCGGATTTTTTTTAAAAGTGATTTTTTTCCTTCTTTTACATGTCATCTTTTTGTTAATAAGATGAGAAATGTAAAAGTTGCGAAAATTTTTGCAATTAAACAAATACCAGATATGAATGAAGTGGCTTTTTGACTGCTTTGGTGTCAATTTTTAATGTGTCAATGTTTAAGGTGTCAATTTTTCATTGAGGAAAACTGATAATGGGCGTACTTTTTGTTAACCTACAACTTCAAGCAGGGTTGGTGGTATATCGTGTTAGTCTCTTTGCAGAGAGCTGCATCAAAAAATTGAGTGGTACAGGGTCAAATTTTAAGAGGTACGTGTCGATGAATTTGACTGCTGGGTGGATGCAGTTGTCATGTTAAAAACTGGATCAAAACGTGTCAGCGTGAACAGATGAACAAACTTTTACAAAATCACATATAAAATGGCGTGGAACAATTTTCGAGCAGTTTTTTTTGTAATTTTACGTGGGTATGGGAAACTGCAATAGACAAAGACCTTTTAATCTATCAGCGATTTCTTAAAAACCTCAACAACCTCTGCAAAACAAAAAAAATACTGCGGATTTTTTTAAAAGTGAGTTTTTTTCCTTCTTTTACATGTCATCTTTTTGTTAATAAGATGAGAAATGTAAACGTTGCGAAAATTTTTGCAAGATAATAAATACCAGGTGTGAATGAAGTGGCTTTTTGACTGCTTTGGTGTCAATTTTTAATGTGTCAATTTTTAAGGTGTCAATTTTTAATTGAGGAAAATTGATTATGGGCGTATTTTTTGTTAACCTACAACTTCAAGCAGGGTTGGTGGTATATCGTGTTAGTCTCTTTGCAGAGAGCTGCATCAAAAAATTGAGTCGTACAGGGTCAAATTTTAAGAGGTACGCGTCGATGAATTTGACTGCTGGGTGGATGCAGTTTTCATGTTAAAAACTGGTTCAAAACGTGTCAGCGTGAACAGATGAACAAACTTTTACAAAATCACATATAAAATGGCGTGGAACAATTTTCGAACCGCTTTTTTTTTTAGTCGTACAGGGTCAAATTTTAGGAGGTACGCGTCGATGAATTTGACTGCTGGGTGGATGCATTTTTCATGTTAAAAACTGGTTCAAAACGTGTCAGCGTGAACAGGTGAACAAACTTTTACAAAATCACATATAAAATGGCGTGGAACAATTTTCGAACAGCTTTTTTTTTGTAATTTTACGTATGTATGGGAAACTGGAATAGACAGAGACCTTTTAATCTATCAGGGATTTCTTAAAAATCTCAACAACCTCTGCAAAACAAAAAAAAATACTGCGGATTTTTTTTAAAAGTGCTTTTTTTCCTTCTTTTACATGTCATCTTTTTGTTAATAAGATGAGAAATGTAAAAGTTGCGAAAATTTTTGCAATTGAACAAAACCCAGATATGAATGAAGTGGCTTTTTGACTGCTTTGGTGTCAATTTTTAATGTGTCAATGTTTAAGGTGTCAATTTTTAATTGAGGAAAACTGATAATGGTTGTATTTTTTGTTAACCTACAACTTCAAGCAGGGTTGGTGGTATATCGTGTTAGTCTCTTTGCAGAGAGCTGCATCAAAAAATTGAGTCGTACAGGGTCAAATTTTAAGAGGTACGTGTCGATGAATTTGACTGCTGGGTGGATGCAGTTTTCATGTTAAAAACTGGATCAAAACGTGTCAGCGTGAACAGATGAACAAACTTTTACAAAATCACATACAAAATGGCGTGAAACAATTTTCGAACAGTTTTTTTTGTAATTTTACGTGGGTATGGGAAACTGGAAGAGACAAAGACCTTTTAATCTATCAGCGATTTCTTAAAAATCTCAACAACCTCTGCAAAACAAAAAAAATACTGCGGATTTTTTTAAAAGTGAGTTTTTTCCTTCTTTTACATGTCATATTTTTGTTAATAAGATGAGAAATGTAAACGTTGCGAAAATTTTGCAAGATAATAAATACCAGGGGTGAATGAAGTGGCTTTTTGACTGCTTTGGTGTCAATTTTTAATTGAGGAAAATTGATTATGGGCGTATTTTTTGTTAACCTACAACTTCAAGCAGGGTTGGTGGTATATCGTGTTAGTCTCCTTGCAGGGAGCTGCATCAAAAAATTTAGTCGTACAGGGTCAAATTTTAAGAGGTACGTGTCGATGAATTTGACTGCTGGGTGGATGCAGTTTTCATGTTAAAAACTGGATCAAAACGTGTCAGCGTGAACAGTTGAACAAACTTTTACAAAATCACATATAAAATGGCGTGGAACAATTTTCGAACAGTTTTTTTTGTAATTTTACGTGGGGGTGGGAAACTGGAACAGACAGAGACCTTTTAATCTATCAGCGATTTTTTAAAACTCTCAACAACCTCTGCAAAACAAAAAAAAAATACTGCGGATTTTTTTTAAAAGTGATTTTTTTCCTTCTTTTACATGTCATTTTTTTGTTAATAAGATGAGAAATGTAAAAGTTGAAAAAGTTGCGAAAATTTTTGCAAGATAATAAATACCAGGTGTGAATGAAGTGGCTTTTTGACTGCTTTGGTGTCAATTTTTAATGTGTCAATTTTTAAGGTGTCAATTTTTAATTGAGGAAAATTGATTATGGGCGTATTTTTTGTTAACCTACAACTTCAAGCAGGGTTGGTGGTATATCGTGTTAGTCTCTTTGCAGAGAGCTGCATCAAAAAATTGAGTCGTACAGGGTCAAATTTTAAGAGGTACGTGTCGATGAATTTGACTGCTGGGTGGATGCAGTTTTCATGTTAAAAACTGGATCAAAACGTGTCAGCGTGAACAGTTGAACAAACTTTTACAAAATCACATATAAAATGGCGTGGAACAATTTTCGAACAGTTTTTTTTGTAATTTTACGTGGGGGTGGGAAACTGGAACAGACAGAGACCTTTTAATCTATCAGCGATTTTTTAAAACTCTCAACAACCTCTGCAAAACAAAAAAAAATACTGCGGATTTTTTTTAAAAGTGATTTTTTTCCTTCTTTTACATGTCATTTTTTTGTTAATAAGATGAGAAATGTAAAAGTTGAAAAAGTTGCGAAAATTTTTGCAAGATAATAAATACCAGGTGTGAATGAAGTGGCTTTTTGACTGCTTTGGTGTCAATTTTTAATGTGTCAATTTTTAAGGTGTCAATTTTTAATTGAGGAAAATTGATTATGGGCGTATTTTTTGTTAACCTACAACTTCAAGCAGGGTTGGTGGTATATCGTGTTAGTCTCTTTGCAGAGAGCTGCATCAAAAAATTGAGTCGTACAGGGTCAAATTTTAAGAGGTACGTGTCGATGAATTTGACTGCTGGGTGGATGCAGTTTTCATGTTAAAAACTGGATCAAAACGTGTCAGCGTGAACAGTTGAACAAACTTTTACAAAATCACATATAAAATGGCGTGGAACAATTTTCGAACAGCTTTTTTTTGTAATTTTACGTGGGGGTGGGAAACTGGAACAGACAGAGACCTTTTAATCTATCAGCGATTTCTTAAAAATCTCAACAACCTCTGCAAAACAAAAAAAATACTGCGGATTTTTTTTAAAAGTGATTTTTTTTCCTTCTTTTACATGTCATCCTTTTGTTAAAAAGATGAGAAATGTAAAAGTTGCGAAAATGTTTGCAAGATAATAAATACCAGATGTGAATGAAGCGGCTTTTTGACTGCTTTGGTGTGACTATGCAGTGGTTAGCATTCGAAATCTTTGCTGGATGAGTCGGTATAAAGTTCGAGCTCACGTAAACTTTAGACTGAGCCCTATAAAAATATGGGTCAATCCTTATCGAATAACAGGCAGAACACAGTAGTTCAAAGCTAAGTGTCCTTGGATGGGTCCGTTTTTTCTCGGTTCCCAAGACATGCCAAAATTCACAAAAAAAAACGGTCGAAGCTGGTAGAAAATTAGTCACGCATCTCGAGCAGGGTAAAACTGACCAAATTTTTTTTTAATTGTGCAGTTTTAAAACATTTTTCTTTTCAATCGTTGCTTTGAGCAATTTGACCGCTGAAAAATATAAAAGTGTTAAATGTGTTCACACAATATAATACGCAACGGTCACCGTCAACGAAAATCGAAGCTCGTTTCAGCAATCATTCAAACTGAGTTGTAAAATATTTACCATCAAAAACGCGTTTGTGTGAACGAAGCTGAGGTGAGAGTAATGATAACATCGAACGCAGCAAGCAGGCATTACTGAGCATTGAAGCATATCAATTTAGAGAAGAATAAGAAATGGTTAACCAAAACCATTGTATATTACAAAACATTACTTATTTTTGTACAATTTTGGTTAAAGCTTTGTAATCAACATGTGCTGCAGTGGTTTAAGTTGTAAATTGGTAATTGCTCTGGGCTTTTCGATCTTCTTATTCATAGCCGAGGGTATAAATTATTCACAACTCGCGCCCTTTTTCCCGAATGAAGCCGAAGTGAACAAAGGCGTGTCCAAGTTTCTTGTCGGCGTCATCAGCAGTTGCTTCGACTTCTCGACACTCGTGTTTTCGCTGCTGCTGCCACTATGTGCCAAACCGCAGTTGAACAAGTTCTTCTTCGTCTGGGGGGCTATCATTGGTGCCATTGCAAACATGGGATTCGGAATGCTAGGAGAAGGACAAGGTTGGTATCAATCCGTTTATGTGCAAGGTGATAAGTTGTTATTTTGTTATTTTGAGGCGTTTAACAGATTTTTTTGAAAATTTTATGCTTCATAATTACGAAAGACGCAATGTCAATATTTACAATTAAAACATCCCAGTGAAATTTCAATCTAACAATTTCCCTCATTTTTTTGAAGAAAAAAATGTGCTAAGTATTCAGACATTTATGATTTATTTCACAGCGATTTCATGAGCTTTTTCGTGTCATTGTTGCACTTTCCTAAAAAAAATTTGCTTAATAAAAAGCAAAAAAGTTTGGGCAGCTCACTCGTCACTGCTTATTAATTGTCATAAACTCGTAAACATACCATTACTGTTAGTTATCGGCTCTTTTTCCTTCTCACCGCCGCATCCTGTGAGTGTTTACGATAAAAAATGTTTGAATCACAAAGCCCAGTTGTTGACATATTTGGAATGCGGTTTAACTAGACTATTGAGAGGATGTTTGGTCTCCATTGTATTGAAGTTGAAGAATACGTTTTTGTTCCGCTCTCTACTTTTTATTCTGACGCTGTGATTTATTTTTAGGTGGAGTCTGGTTCGTCAGTATGTGTTTCCTATCCCGAATCCTCATGGGAATCGGAGCCAGTATGGTCTGGGCGACTGGAATCCCCCTTCTGACGTCACTCGCGCCCTCATACGCCGGCCGAATAACCTCTCTGGCCGAATCAGCTGCCGGCCTGGGAATCGCAATCGGACCTCCCATCGGAAGTGCTGTCTTTACTCTTGGGGGATACAAGTACCCCTTCTTGACATCCGGGGGGATTGAGTTGTTCGTGGTGCTGTTCGCCATTTTCACCTTGCCAGAGCCTCGTGATGAGCACCAGAACAACACGTCATACGACGACGCTCAAGTTGACGACATGTGAGAATAAAATTATCGCTCTATATTTCGCTTCTTTGACTTTTTTCCTCCTGAAAATCCTGCTTTCACATAATTTGTTCACTTAGCCTAATTGTTATAAAATTTGGAATTAATTATTCAATTCCTGTCATATTTGGACTTCATATACCTAACCTAGTAAAACCAAAGCCTCAGGCACAAAATCCATTTTTTGGGTAGTGTGGAACTTCAAAAGTTCTGATTAAGTGTGAATTAAGTTATTTTCAAAATAGACCACAATAATGAGAAAGGGTTAACGTAATAGTTGCATGTAAATTGTTCGACGTACTTTCGTTTTTCAGTCCTGTAGTAGTCACTGTTTTTATTGGTGTTTTCCTGAGCAGAAACCAAAACGAATCATCTTGAATAAACATCGTGAAGTTTAGATTTTAGTCGGATTTGATATGAAGTTGCATCAAACAATGCTTTCTTCTGGTTATGACACTAACATAAATTGATTGATACTTTTTCAGAATAATTTTCAAATCGTTCTGGGGGACTTTTAGTTTGTTGATTAATCTGCTTTTCAAAATCGACATAATCATTCCAGAATTTTCAACGACTCCATGGACAGTGATTCTTTCGATGTACCCATGATCTCTCCTAGTCAGCAAGGACCCCAAGACGAAGGTTTGGGAACCCCCAGCACTATCCGGGCATGTCTGGAGTTCCTCTCGGTTCCTGGAATCTGGGCATTCAGTGTCATTTTACCGCTGTTTGGAATCCCGTTCGGTCTCCTCGACGTGTCATTGTCTCCTTATCTTCTTCACAAATTTGACATCACCGGAGACACGGCTGGATTGTATTTTCTATCGGCTGGTGCTACTTATGCTATTTGCACACAGTTCATTGGTATAGCCACTGACAAAGGTTGTAAGACTTCGCATAAGATAGAGAAATGAAGATAGACATGAAGATAGAAATGAACAAATTGGGCAATTTAGCAATAGCGGAAGACAAATTTTTAAGATTTAGAAATAACGATAAAAATGATTGTTTTTGAGCGATGTGTAAATGATGATAAAAAAGAACCTTTTGAGGCAATTCAGAAAGAACGATTTTAAAAAAAATTGCTAGAAAGTTAAAGTTTGAGATCATTGGTCACAAACCCTGGCCGAGATACTTAAAACCGAACTAAAAGCGGAAGTATTTTGATTTTAAAACCGTTTTGTTTTTCAGGCTTCGCTGCATATACATTTTTCTGGCTTTCCAACATGCTAGTAGTCGTGACAGGCCTCTACTATCTGCCTTCTCAAATATCCCTTCTGGAAAACCAATACTACATAGCCGCCGTACTGGGTCTAAATGGACTGGCTATGTCTGGAACCTATGTTCCACTGTATCTGATTCTGCAGGAGATAGCGATGGACGGGGGATACTCCGATAGTCTGGACCACTTGAAACTAGTCATCGGCATCTGGCTCAATTTTGTCATGGCTGGTAAGAATGATGCTTGTTTTTTAAATCCATCGTCTTATTTATTCCCCGACTCAAGAGAACTTCTGAGACTTCTGTAATCAAGCATAAAAATAAGGTCTAAGAAATCTGACGTCTCAAACTTTTTTCTCGTTTTTTATTACGCGTTTTTTGGAGAAATTTGTCTTACAAAATGAATATGTTAAATAGTTCTCCCTCCTCCCTCCTGTTGCAAGAAAAGATTGTTTGTCACAAAAATAAACAAGACTGCTCGTATCAGGGCGAAGCCCTGAATGTTCCGACTGCCTTTTAAGGTTTATGGAGCAGCAGTAATAGCATAAAAAAATTAAATTAAATAAAATAAAAAGAAAATTTTTTTTTCTAAAATTTGAAATTTTTTATGAAAATCATCCCCCCACACGCCATATAAAGTACAAAAAGAGAGATTTCGTTCTTTGTAACAAATCAATTATGGCAAATAAGCTTCGTTCAACCAATTTGGAACGATTTATAAGACGGATTAAATCTCCGCTTACGCGTTAATAGCGCGAATTATATCGCGCGTTAATTGTCCCAAATTGCTCAAAATGACCAAAATGGCAATCTTTAAACCCTCATAACTCTACAAAAAATGATCACAGGTGAAATATCTTTTCAAATTTAAGCTCAGGACAACAATATCTTTTGAATGATGTAAAAAAATTCCGTCAAAAATGGCTAGTTAAAAAGTCGAAATTTGTCTGAAGAAAAAAAAAACCCACCCCGAGCACAAATATTCCGTTACTTTCGTACCGAAAGTCGGAACAACAATACGCGCTTTAAATTTCATCCTTTATTGGGGGGAGAGATTACGTTGTCCGATATGAGGGGTATTAGTGCAGTTAATGCGATTAATCCATAAGGGCAAGGGTTAAGACGAGCTGTTGAGCCCTTGACGGAAAACCGCTACTGAGAACCTGCTTAAGAATTGCATGCATTTTTGCTTGTTTTGGGCTGGGTAATTTTGAAGCACCCTCAAGCAACAAGCAAAAATCATGGTGAGCCTCAAACATACGACCCTTTGAATGAGAGGCGGAGACGTAACCACTTCACCACCACACCCCCACTTCAGATTATTGTTGATATTGGTTTTTCTCTGAATAAAAATTTTTCTACCAAAAATTCTTAAATTAGTCAGCGGGAAAACAGTTTTAAAAACTACCAGCCTGTTTAACAATAGTCATTGTTCAATTTACGATTGAAATTTTGTTTTCAGTTAATTTTTTTAATAATCGTTTGAGGTTTTTCAGATTAATGCCATGTCTTTTGTGTTTATCAGTTGACTGGCATTATGCACAATTAATACGGCTACAAAATTACTCTGTAGGTATAACTATTTTGCTTTTGAGAAACAGTAACATCCTTTTTTTATCCAAACTTAAATATTTTCATTTTTTTTCAACTCACACATGATTTATTAAAACTTACCCTAAAACTTTTGGTTCAATTTTTGAAAATAAATGTATCAAAAAGAGCTTTACTCTTACCTTTATTTTAAATTTAAAAAGGAACCCTATTCAACCTAACGTTAACTTGCATTTTTGTATTCAATTTCTTGAAAACGCAAGTTTCTCTGGTAATTTTGCAAGTTCTGCGCCCATAAAAACACTTTGCAAGTTTTGTCTGTCAAACCAATTTCAAAAAAAATACTCTAAAAATTTTCAATTATGAGCTTGTTGTCCAGAAACGAAGTGGAAAATATTCAAAATCTACATTTTTTCCCGCCATTTCAGTGTTTCAACTTGTTTTTTCGCTTGTTAATGCTACGATGCAAAAAGTTACTTGTCAGTAGTTATGCTTTTCTTACTTTGTTTTTTTAATTTTTTGAATATACTTTATTGATGTAACAGCAAATTGTAGTGAGAATTATTGGAGAAACAAAAAATGTTTGCTCCAATTAAATTATCCACCTAATGAGTTCAATTGTAAAAAATTTACCTGCAATTATTTTTGTTAATATCTGGGGGCTTGGAAATTTTCAGTTTGGCCATAAGTTGGACTCAGTTATGTGCGCTTCATAGATTTTATTGGGGATGTTAAAAGTATACTGCGAATGCTTTATGCGTGAAGAAATATCTTGCTCTCGAAAACGTTCTAAATTGAAACAAGACTGCTCCTATATCAGGGCAAAGCCCTGAAAGTTCCGACTGCCCCTTAATTCATATCGAATAGTTTTTGGGAAAAGATAAAATTGAAAAACTATAAAGTTTGGACAGTATCAAATCAAGATCAAGTGTAAAAATTTGAGTGGTAAAATTTAAAATGACCAATCAGCTAGCCTCAATCCAATCTGGAACGATTGTGTTGTGCAGGATCATTCGCCACGCATAAATACTTCACATTACGTTTTCAGTATTGTGGTTAAAATCTACAAACAGCGCATAGATTATTCCAAAGCATGCCCAAATTAGCAATTTTCAAACAACCAAAACTTAGCAAAAAATGATCGGAGTTAAAATAAATTTTTAAATTTGATTTCAGGGAGTCGATATCTTCAATGGAGCTTAATTTAAAAAAAAACTATTATTTCGATAGTCAAAAAATTGACTGATTAATAAAAAAAACCCTACCAAGCATAAATATTCAGTTTTTTTTTTCGAAAGTCCGAATAATTAGGCAAGCGCTTGATAGTCGTATTAATTTTCTGCAACGGCTGAAATTTTACCACTGAAGAAATAGTATTAGCCGTCTCAAATTTACAGTTGTTGGACTTTTCTTAGCAAACGTTTTTTGAGACCTGTGAACGGCACAGTCTGTACATTCAGGCATTCAGGGCTTTGCCATGACATACGAGCAGTTTTGTTACAGTGGAACTAGTTTCTCCTATTATGTCAAGGATCAATGAACTACAGTTAGTTGGGGTTGTTTATGACTATAACATTGTTTGTTTTTAATTAAATAAACGGGTTGAGGTTCGGTATCAAACGTTGAAATAAGTTATCAAAACCAAACACTCTTGTACCGGAATATTTTCTATCATATTAGAAATTGGCCCCCCATAATCTCTTTTTTTTTGTAGATTGTTCTATTTCAAAAGTTGTTGTTTAACGTGTTCTGTAAAATGTTCTATTTCTTCTATCACTTCATTGAATTCAATTATGTGAAAATAGTTTAAAAGTTTTAAGTGAGAGAAGTATAATTTTCGCAGTATTAACTGCAGCATTTGGTCTTATTTGTCAAAAGTCAACTATCGAAAAAAAGATGTCAATTGTTTCTTCAATAGTTGCAATTGACATTTGAATAAATTGTTTGCATAATTGAAAAAAAAAATTGCATAATTGAAACTATAGAAAATTTTTGATGCCGTTTTTAGGAGTTTATTTTACTATAGAAACTAAATCACAGTAAACTTAAGATGAAGATCATTTATCCACGGGAGAAAGGGCCAGCACAAGACCTGTACAGCTCATCACGGCGAACCGCTGTTGTACCCCTGTTTAAGAACTACTTGCAATTTTTTAAGTTGTTTTTCTGGGCTGGGTAATGTTGTTTTACCCTCAAGGAACGAGCACGGATCATGGTGGGCCTCGAACATTCGACCTTCCGATTTAGAGGCGGAGACGTAACCACTTCACCACCGCTCCCCAACTAATACATGACTGCTCGTATCAGGGCGAAGTCCTGAATGTTCCGACTGCACTTAAGAGATCTATCCCCCGAGGGGCCAGAGTTTTGTAAAAGTGGTCTGAATAAAAAACCACGCCTAGCATTTAGAGTCCTCACTTTTTTTGAAAGTCGGAACAATAATCGAACAGACCGGAAAATTCTTAACCAAATCCACTCAAATTTTTGTCAACGTTTCTTATATTTTTTAGATAAGAGCAAACACTGCAGCTTAATTTTCCCCATTGCAAAAGTATAAAACAATTTTTTGAAGGTGCATTTACAAATCTTTGTTTCGAAGCAATTTTGGCCAGTTGCTGTTCCACGAGTACAGAAAATTTTCAGCACAGTTTTTGTGGTAAATGTTTTTGTAATGGTTAATGAATTTTTTCTTTTAGTCGGCAGAATCCTTGGCTCTATCGTGTTTGGAGGCGTGATCTACCCCATTTTCGGATTCCACTTCACTTTCGCCACTGTGTTCGGCTGTTTCGCCGTCGGCTCTTTGATCAGCAATGGTTTCTTGATCCTCTCCGGAAACTACAGGCGCATGTACTACAACAGCCGTGTCTTCTTAGAAGAATCATTAGACAGAGACTAGTTTTTTTTATTATATTTTTTGTAAAAAAAGATACATTGCATCAGTTTGCAAACCAGAGTTTGTAATATTTTATTTTGAGATCTTGTATATTGCGCAATTTTCTAAGACTAAAGTTTGTATGAAATATGATATTTATAATGTTTGAGAGTTATTTGGTATCGAATTTCTTCGGTACAACTAGTATGATATTAAAACAAGCAATTGACAATGCGAAATAATCTGATTTTTTGTTTTGACTATCCGGATAAAGATAGGTAACCATGGAACAAAAACTAAAACAAGCGAGAAAATAGGATCGCCAGATCATAATACACAATCAACTATAAAACGTCAAAACAAACGCAATCAAAATAAAGTTTCAAATCCCACGGTTGATGAATAGCCTATTCATTTTCTGAAAACGCCTGGCTAGACTCAATTTTGTAACAATTTGCTTGTCAGGGTTGAAAATCTTTCTGAACAACACACATGGAACACTGTCGGATAAATCCTCGTCGTGATCAAAGCAATTGTAGTAAACGCGTTCAAAAAAAGGACTTTCTTGAAATCTTAAAACATGACAGCCGCTTTCCGTATCCCAATGCTATCGAAAAAATAAACTTTGGACGAAAACAACTCAAACAATGGCCAAATCAATTTCGCTAGCTGGGGTTATATTTCCCAGTCCTAGAGAAAACACATGACGGGGAGCAGTTTTGTTTGCATCACTGTCTTTCCCCAGATAAAACTCGGATTCTTGTGTTTGCTGCCCGGGTAGATACCCGCGAATTGGGTCGCCGAACTGGACTTTCTGCAAAAATCGATACTCCCGCAAGAGGCTTGAGTCGCACAGATTTGCATATTGGGTCGAGCAAAATCCCAAGATGGGTCACACAAAGTCACATGGGTCGCGTAAACCTCTTTGGCGGTTAAACGTAGTCAATTTTTTTTCTTGATCGAACTAATTAAAATGATTTTGGCAAAAAAGTGTCCTTATAATTTTTTCGGGGAGCTCGGGAAATCAAATTGGTCACCCTTAAAAAAATGATCAGCTTAACTTCAAGATTTTGTGAAAAACCGCCCCCACTGGTCGAAGCAGACAATTTGGGTCGGGTCGGTCGAAACATATCGAGCCTGGATCGAGTTTTTCGAAACATCAATTGCGAACCTCGATCCCAGGCGTGCAAAACCGCATAACTTTGGTCCGCACAGCGCTCTTATAGTTACGTTACCCTCACCGAGCGCCGATGGACCATAATCGATTATATTGTCATAATATGGTCACTAACTATAAACTTACAAAAAAAAATTGATTATAATGCATTAAAATTGGATTATAATCATAATATTTTTATGCCAGTATAATCCATTGTAATCAATTTTAATCGATTATATAGGATTTTTTGAGGCGTCATTTATGAAATTTATAAGTTTTTTCAAAGTTGTTGTAATTCCTGTTTAGTGCAGTTGCTACGTACATTTCATAAAATGTTACATTTCACATTAAAACTTATGTGTTTATTTGTTTTATATATTCTGATTGAACCCCGCAGTTTACTTTTGCCCACCCCCACCCAGTTTACTTTACCCGTCACCCCTTCCAGTAAACTTTACCCCACCCCCCAAGCTGCAAACCGCCCCCTTCCACTTTAGCTTCCACTTTTAAAACATTTCACATTAAAACTTACAATTTTTTGTCCTTTATATTCTGATTGAACCCCCCAGTTTACTTTAGCCCCCCTCCCTCGTTTACTTTACCCCCCTTCCAGTTTACTTAACTCCCCTCCCCCAGTTTACCTTGCACCCGTTTATTTTACCCCCCCCCCCCTCATTTACATCCCCCTGCCAGTTTACCACAACTGCCATTTGCCCCCCCCCCCCCCTCATAGTTGAACACGGGAGGGTTGTTTATTGGATGATTTTGAGGAGGGGGTTACTGAGTGACACCCCCCAATTTACCGCCCCCTCTTTAGTTGGAGGCAGGTAAAAAACTTGAGCGGTTGATGTTGAGACATAGCGTTTAGTAAAAGGCATATCAAACTTTTTGCAAGTTTCCTTCAAAATTTGCAAAATTTCTGCACAATTAATCGAAGTTAGTTCTAAGAATAAAATGGATTATAAGCAATTATAATGGATAATAAGGGATTATCCTGGCGAAAAAGACCGATTTCAGTGCCAAAATTAATGGATTATAGTCTATTTCAATGGATTATAATAGATTATTTCTTTTTCAAAAATAATCGATTATAATGGCAGCATAATCGATTTCGTGGTCTGACTTTTACACCTGTTTTGTATTATAATGGATTATTTTTGTCTCGGAAATCCATTATAATTGATTAGAATCTATGGGCGCTCGGTGCGGGTAGTCTAATATTCAGCGTTTCACATCAATCTTTGAGAAAGGACAGTCTAGTAGTGAGTGCGCCGTTCTGGGACTATGAAGTCTCTGGATCGATCCACCGATGGAAACATTTTCAAGAACTGTTCTGATTTAAAAAAACCCAGAGCATATATATATATATATATATATATATATATATATATATATATATATATCCCTTGCTTTCTTCTAACCAAAATGCTCCAACCCTGCAGCAAAATGATTGAAGTAAAAACGTAACCATTCCTCGGAACTTAAATTCGTTTTGGAACTTGCTTTTTCCTTCGTCTCCCCGACTTCCACACTCTTCTAATTTTTGCAATTACTATGATTTAAAAAAGACGAGGAAGTCTGTGAGCTTGTTCTGCTTAGCAGGTCTGACTGGATTGGTCTCGCCAGGCAAATGGTGATATTTTGAAAGATGTCAGTCAGACAAGTAGAAACTTGTTTCATTTCTACGGTTATGTTTGAAACGCAGGGGCAGCATAATAATCCACGCTCGTCATCACTCCAAACGAATTAGAGAGATCCGTTTAGTTCTTTTCTTTTTCGCTTCATAAAGTTAATATCAAGTTGGTATACAGATCAACGACAAGTGAATATATTCAAATTATGAAATACAATTACAGAATAGACCCTGGGGTATTTATTAAAAATTTACGTAGTCAACTCCAAAAATTTTGCAACTTTTCCCGAAATTTTGGATAACTATCTCTCTGATAAAGTTTCATTAGTCGGAAACTCGTTTTATTAGAAAATCAACCTGTGCTCTAAATTGTACGCAGCCAAAAAATTTTCATGCATCAATATCAATATTTTGACTTGGATGCCATGAATAGTTCAACTGCCTTTTCAAGTCTTTGATAATTTTTTATCTAAGAAAAAATTGATAATAAAATCGTTAGTAAAATATTTGAATATTTATCAAATATTTTTAACTAACCCCAGTTAACTATGGATAGTAAAAAAGCGGTTCATTTAGCTAGCGTGTAGTATTGTCTTGGTCAGACCAAAAAACTTCCCTCAATTCTTGTTTCAGAATAATTTCATGGCCGGATCAATATTACATCGTGCATTTAATGTCGTAAATTGACCGAAGGATCACAGGTGAAATATCTGCCTACATTTGTGCTCAAATAGTTTCAATAAATATCAGAAATTATAAAAAATGCCGTTCAAAAGGGGCTTCTTAAAAATAAAATCTGTCTACAGAATAAATCCAAACCGAGCGCAAAACTTTAACCACTTTCTTCGAAAGCCGAAATTATTTGGAAAGTTTGCACAAAAGCATTCACACGGCATATCAAGAAGTCATGAATGTCTATTTAGTTTCGGCGCTTTGGTGAATCATAAGTTATATTCAGTGATTATAACAAACCGCATTTGAAAAAGATGTAACAAACCGCATTCGAATGATCACAGGTGAAATATCTGCCTACATTTGAGCTCAAATAGTTTCAATAGCTTTCAGAAGTTATAAAAAATGCCGTTCAAAAGGGGCTTCTTAAAAATAAAATTTGTCTACAGAATAAATCCAAACCGAACGCAAAAGTTTTATCATTTTCTTCGAAAGCCGAAATTATTTGGACAATTTGCACAAAAGCATTCACACGGCATATCGAGATGTCATGAATGTCAATTTAATTTCGTCGCTTTGGTGAATCATAAGTTATATTCAGTCATTATAACATACCGCATTTGCAAAAGATTGTGCCATATTTTGTCAACTACAGAAACGGACATCATAAAAGTTGTTCAGCTCCAAATCAAAAAACACCATTTTGCATGTAATCGGCAACTTCATCCATTCATTGTCGGTTTTTATGAACTAAGTAATTTTCCGACCTCCTCAAGCAACGAATTGTAAAAAAAGCGTCTCGCGCACCATTTGTTAGTAACTAAACGATAGAAGTTTTAACTACACCTTCATTACGCCGACTAATTTCTAACTTGACCAAGATTATATCGACAACTCACAAGCAAATGCGAATAAAAACACTTCTCAAATAATTTCCTGTGTAACATATGAAATGCATTAAATCAACTACATAAATGGACTCCGGAAGCTTATTATTTTTTAATTGTCAACCGTTTCTAACGCTATGAAAAGTTTGAACATAATCGAATTTTTTTTTTTTTTTAAAAAAAAACAATTTTTTTTCGAATTTGTTTTTTTTTCTGCAATGAAAAAAATTACGGCACATTCTATATTACTTATATGTGTCAACTCTTGTTTCGGAATTGGCCAGATACATCCCTTTGTGACTAAAATAGCGAGTGGGAATAATTTTTTTTCTAATATCATTCCACATTTTTTTTTCGATTACTTTATCAATATTTAAACCAAAAACTTTTGAATTGGTCTTGAAGAGCAGTCGGAAAGTTTCTGATATACGAGCAATCTTGTTTACCTATTAGAGCAGACTCTTGTTTTGGTTTTTGAAGAAAAGGCGGAATATATATCCTTTTGGTTGCTATTACAGTTTTCACTTTTTTGTCTAAGCATTTTTTATACCATCTGAAAAGTATTACTGTCTGAAGCTCAAATGTAAAAGAAAACTTTGCCTGATATCATTTTTTGCTATAATGTGGGGTCAATTTTTGACTATTCGTCAATATCATGTAATTTTCTAGGCTTTTTTGATGAACGTTTTTTATATCATCCATTACGAGGCCAAACTGTGAATTTCCTGAATTGAAAGCGGATTCCGCATCAAGGAAGCTATCTTTTGTTGTTTCATTTCCTTTGATTGTTCCGAGTTTGAAGATTTGAGTTTCAGAGGCCTACAATCACCAAACTATCCAGTTCACAGTTTGGCCTCGTAATATCT